CATTTTAAAAAGCTTCGCATTAAAAGAAGAATACTTTTGTGATAATTATGCCGAAAATATGGGTCATACGATTTTAAGACTTTCTCCCTATTACTGTGTATTTAACCCACTCGAACATATGTGGCATCAACATAAGTCAAAATTCGAAGAAATAATACTTCGCCACATTGGCGAATAGTTGGAAAAATTCAGTCTCACATATGAAAGCTTAGAATTCATATTTTTCTACACATAATATACAAACTATTATCATCAATTGAAGAGACGACAGTGATAGTGACACAGATTTGACATAATATCTATGTGATGTAATATTTATACTCGTTTTGAGTGTGTTTTGTGTTTTATTGGCACTGATTTTCACAACCAACTGGCCAGTCAATTTCGTAATGATTTTTTAGACTATAACTTATCACTAACTCAGGAGAGTTAGTGATAAGTTAGAGAGAGTGTAGTGTCGTGTTGAGTAAATGTCTTATTACTTCAGTAAAGTCGACTTCATTGTCTTTGAGACGCTAATTGTATCCGAACGTCTGCGGTCCCTCCGGTGAGTACCGATTTACTCGTTTTAAAAGGTTCATATTTATTCATGTTGACTTGTTATGTTTAAGTCTTCCGTTTCATGTCTGCAAAAGTTGGCAAAAATGGGAAATTTCTTTATTAATAATTTCTTGAAAAAAAAAAAAAATTCTTCATTAAAGGTTATGCATCACATAGACATCATTAATAAATAATCTTATAAAATATTAATTGGTACATCGGGGAAATCAAATTCATTAATCAATACTGAAGAGGAAAGTAATTTTAAATTTAGATATGCAAGAAAATGTAAATTTAAAATGTTTATAGGTATTAAAAATTATGTCCAAGTTTAGATTCATAGCCTTCTAATAATTAAATAATACATTTAAAGAAAAAAGTTAATAAAAAAATACTTTTGCATTTATTGATTTTGTTTAATGTACAAGGTAAATTAGAAATGAAATTAAAAATTAATGCACCTACTAACATATCATTAAAGTACCATGAATCTAAATTTAAATATAATTTTTAATTCCTCCAACCAAATTAAAATGACATTTTGTTCTGTACCTAACTTTAAAAGCACTTCACTTTTAAGCATAAATCAATATTTTTGATTTTCGCTGTATACCACTTAAAAGTTTATAAATTTGATTATTGATTTCTATGCCATGCAGAAATTTTTATGAAGAATAGTTTATTTCATGAAATTAATAATAAAGAAAATTCCCATTTATAGCCAACTTTTTCAGACATACTTTATACCTTAGTACTTAACAATTGAAAAACTTCTTCCCTTACATTGAATATAAAATATAATCATATTCAGCTATATTTATATATATATATATATATATATATATATATATATATATATATACATATATATATATATACATATATATATATATATATATATATATATATATATATATATATATATATATATATATATATATATATATATATATGTTATATGCATTGTACCAACGAATGTTCCTTATCACGACGATTCCCAGGGTATCAGGTTTCCACTTCCAACAACCTGAGCCGATAAGGATCCTTGCACATGCAGTTAATTCTACCAGCAGAGTCAGCGGGACCCAAGCTGTTTACACGTTCCCACTGTTCCCACATTTACTAATATTATAAAACCGCTTGTCGCTCTTTATTTTCATTCAGTATATGCTTGTAGTTCATTCATTATATTTTTACATTTCATTTATTTGCAACACGTAACTTTGATAATATATATATATATATATATATATATATATATATATATATATATATATATATATATATATATATATATATATATATATATATATATATATATATATTGTTTTGTTTGCGTAATTGTTTTATGAGCAATGAGTGTTTTTAAATAACATCCCTGTCCTTTATCCTCCAAATTACAGAGTATTTATATCATTTCAATGTTCCCGAATATTCTTGAAAGAAAATATATTCGAATCCTTTTATTTCCTAGATATTTGAATGTTCGCGAGTATTCTACTACAAAAATAAAGTTAAATTCATTCTATTGACGTCTTATTTTAAAGTTAATTCTTTACTTTTCTATCGAGAATTTTATAAAAATTTAGGCTTTTTAGATCAGAATGTAAACTTATATATAAATTAAATATCTAAATTAATAAATAACACTTTTTTAAATCCATAATTGTTCACAAAACTTCTTATAAAAAATTATTTCCGTATCCCATTTCTAACTTCCATTTTATGACGAACCGCGAGCCGAAGTCCAGAGTAGCATTACTGAATGCTCGACGGTAGGTCGAGTACACAGTGTAAGTTGAACACTCACGACGAAGAATTGTTATGCATATGACGGCATCTCATCTCTAAACGACGTACGACGAAAGACGTTCATATTTATGCTATTAAGCCCCGGTCCTATTTTATCGTTATATTGTTTACGTTAGTTATATTCATTCCTATAATTTACGAGTTCAACAATAAAGTGATTGTTCTAATTTGAATCGACCTGTGACCATTTAATTAAACCCTAGACAACAAGAAAAAAAAAAAAAAAAATTAATAATATATATATATATATATATATATATATATATATATATATATATATATATATATATATTATATATATATATATATAGGATTTTATTGTAAACAAGTCTGAAAATATAATTGTATCGAGTATTAATTGTAACGCGAAAATAAATAGTGTCAATCTAAAATAAAGTAGTGCAATATTGTATATATAAATTAAATATAGACTTTAATAAACTAAGTGTATTCTCCATTCGCTTAGCTAGGGCATATTTTGACAGATTCATTGTCGGAAACCTACAACACAACAATTCCTACTTCTCTCAGTATTAATAGCTCAAGTATACTACTATTGCAGACTTCTTCCTTTGAAAAAGAAGAATTATTCTAAATAGTGGAAGTGTATACTAAACTCATCAAATTTTGGGTAGTATTATATTTAAAAAATATATTTTAGTTGTTATAATTTAACATAACTATTTATTATATGGTGCAGATAAATAAATATTGATTGTCGGTAATTCCCAAAGTTTTATTTAATTTTACTATTTACTGTATTTATTATTAATATTGGCTATAAGTACGTGTGTTTGTTTGTATAGTAATTTCCAGCCACTTTTAGTCTGTCAAAATGTAACTAACTTCGCAAAAAAAATAATTACTAAATTCACTAGACAGTTCGGACTGGAAATAGCGAACCGAGTATAAGAACATTTTATAAATAATAAATAAAGTTAATAAATTATATTAATAAAAACAGTTCAATAATAAAATTACCTTGTTCAATTTTAAATACCTATATACTTTAAATTTAAAAAAAGTGTTCTCAATACTATCCATAGATAGTTACTCCAAAATTGCATCTTGTATAACAGATCGTAATTTGAGTTTCTTTCATGAAACCTCTAACGGGTATTTGTTTCATGTATGGCAATTAACTAAAAATGGAAATTAGTCGTTCTTTAGACTGTTTTTTTCTTATAATTCAATCTTTCTTTTCTCAAGTTCTATGAAAACTCTGACCCAGCTTTTTCAAAATTAATTATGTCTGGATATTCTGCAACTTCATGATGAGTGTTGTATTAGATATCAATATTTGTATCTCTTTGCGATTCTGACACTTTATCTTTTAAAACATCATTTGTTTGAAAAATTGACAAGAAAAAGTAGAATTATTTCCTCCTCCATCCCCACTCTTTGATTTATTGAACTTCCGGAGTTTCTGAAAAAAAAAATAAGTTTGTATATTTTTCCATTTCATACGCACGAACTGACCTAAAAAAAATAGAAAAACAGCGAAACTTGTTAAATTATTTTGATTTATCTAAAACATACCTGTACCTACAGCTGAAAACTGGATCAAAATACTGGATTAAAGTACGTAACATTTATCATCTTTACTTACTTGTTTCGTAATATCGTCCCACAGCTTTTTTATTCCCACAGTTTTTTTAGTATAAGCATATGTTCTTTTGGTGTGTATTTGATGGCTTTCAAAGCGATTCCCTTTTAAAAAAGGAACAGCAATTAATGTACGTATAATTTAATGCGCGCTATGTGCAACCCGTGAACTGCGTTCTACTAACGCGACCGGTCGCGCTAGCAACCACCTAGCAACACTTGCCGACCGTCGGGACAACGGGGACTCGCTAACGACAACCTTCTTGGTAGTGCCATTAAAAGGTCGGCCGACGCTAACAGCGCTGCTAACCCAACGACATTTGCGCTCGTATAACAAAGTACTACAAACGATTTGTTAGTTTTATATTAGCTAGCAAACGATTTATTTTCTATTACATATTACATTAGTTTTTATCTAAAAAAAGTAATTTTCATTTTTTATCGCATAGCGTCATGCCCAAAAATAATTAATAAAATGTGGAATTATTAATTGGCCTACAAAAAAAAACTAGACCCGTTACAATTATTTGCAAACTACCTACAATTGATTCATATTCTCATTTGTCAGTTTATCATAAAGAGATGTAGTCGCCACACACGGTTCGTAGATTTTCTACAAAAGTCTAGGAACCGTGGCCCCAGAATAATAAACAATCAGAATGCCCACTCTGCTTGAAAAAATAAGTACGCGCATCTCGTTCGCGCAGACAGAATGAGCCATATTTTAGTCGGAACCAGTGCTGTTCAGTGACATTTTATCTTGTGTGCATAGAAAAATTAACAAGGTTTAGTTTATTTAAGGCAACTATAGACATATTATTCACTATTTTATTCGTATTTTTAGTTGAAGAATAGATTAAATTATTTTAAATGTACTAAATTTCTAAAAATTTAAATTACAGTTCTTTCGTAAGTTTGTCAAAAATTTCTCACTACGAGTCTTCTGTGCCGAGGCCGTGGTCGCCACATAACTTTTTAAGACGAGTACTCACTGTCGTTTGTCACTTTGTGTTATTTCGGATGTCATGTGTCATATTTTAGTGTTTAGTGTCTTACAGTGTTTATACTGTTTATATTATTGTATACAGAGTAAAATAAAAAGTGTTTTAGAGCTCAAAAACTAGCTTTAAACTATAGTCAAATAGGTAAATCCTGAAAGAAACAGTATTAAAACGTAACTCATTATAAAAAAGAGACTAATAAGGTTTCCCTTACTACAAAAGAAACTACTGGATGCAGCATGCAACTGCATACTTAAAGGTTAAATTAAAAAATATATTGACTTAACCAACTCGAGACTAAACTCCTTTTTTTGGAAAAATAATCTATAGAGGTAATTAAATCCATAATTATTGCATATTTATTTATTTTAAACTTTTTTGCTTACTAAAAACACTTATAGTTGATATTGGGATTATAGCAAATATAACTAAATATGTAACATTGATGAAACAAAGTGAAATAGCTTATTATTCTCACAAAGTAAATGTGTACTTTACATTTTGTTCAGTGTATACTTACTTATTATGTGTGTAAACATAAGCTGTGTAATGACAGGGTCCTATTACGTCCCGCCAATGTGTTTATTAGGTTATTAAATTGCATTGTAATCAATATTAAGTTTAAGCAATAAACAATCATTTCTATTTCTTTGTTAAAACTTCCTAATATCTTAGAAATACATGGGAAGTAGACAAGCTAAAATTTTTTGTATGATATTGATATGTAAAATGCTATTAGGGAAATAAATAACAAGCTAATTCTCACTGAACTTATATTTTAACACCTTTGCTGCAATCATTAAAAATGTGATTATTATATTGTTTGTGTACCTGTACTAAATGAATACTGTAGATTTTATATTTTAGTTAAACCAGTTAAAATAGACTGTTAGTATGTAAGAAATATGAGTTTCCCCTATGAATACATTTTAAAAATTTAATTCTAGTGGCGGCAGTATATGCAAGGAATACACAAACTTGACAAGAACTATATAATGTTACAAAGCCATCCTCATTATTTCTTTATTTGTTCATCTCCAAATATTTTCTGCTATCTGTATTCCCCTGAAGATTTGTTTGAACACCTTTCTTTCCCAGATCACTACTTTCTTTTAGTCCTCTTGGTTGATAATCCATGTTTCACTGGCACACATCACCATGGGTCTGATCACTGTATCATAGACTCACAGTTTAGCTGTTATTGACCAATTTTTTGCTTTCAGTATTGAATTTAGTGACCCTGATGCTCACTCCCCTTCGTAAATCTTTTGACTCTCTCTTTTTTCTTCTTTTTTTCAATGTCTCCTCACATTTCCATATACTACATTATACTCAAAACTTTATCTAGATGTTTTTTGTTCTTGCTATTAACACCACATCATCTGCATATACTTGCACTGTTCCCAGCTATTGAAAAAAGTCCTGTTTGTGTTTATATTTGATCTTTATTACAATTTTTTGTTTAATACTAGGTTGAATAAAATATTTGATAGCAGATCCACTTGTTTTAAATTCTATTCATTGTGAAATTGAAATACTTTGTCCCATTGTTATTCTATTTCTTGTGTTTCTATGCGTCATTCTCACTAGCTTTATAAGCTTTTCTGGTATTTCTAATGTTCTCATGACCTCATACACCATGATCCTTTGGTTTATGGAGTCTAATGTCTGTTTAAAATTGATAAATAATATAATATGTAATTCTAAGTTTTCTTGGTAGGTATTATTTTAACTAACATACTTATTTGATGAGTAGTTGTTCTTCCTGATCTTAACCTGCCCTGGTATTCTCGGATCACTTTGTTATCATATTTCATTAATCTTTTTTTAATAATATTTTTAAATATTTATATACTTCTAATAGTTCTAATGCTATGCCTCTATAGTTTTTGCACTATGTTTTGTTTCCTTTTAGTCTTTCACTGCCTTCCTTAAAAATCTCACTGGTAAAAAACTGGTATACCACTTTATCTTTCCCTTTTGTTAAAAAATAAATGGTAATATTACTTAATATAAATTTTAATATTATGTACTGATTGTGTTTAATATTAAAGCATAAACATAAAGCTGTTTTTCTATTAAAGTCTTTACTTTTCGTTGCTTTTTATAGCATTCCATAAACTTAGTTTTTTTTTCTTCTTTTATGAGGAGGGGTGATCCAAATGTTCGAAACATACATCGGTCCTAGAAGGCGAGCAGAACCGCCTTCCAGCCTCAGTTATGCAGAACTCCAGCTTGGCCACGATGATTTCCAGGCCGCTCGCTCTGATCGCCCTGATTGGGACGCAACCCCGGCACGGCATTCACCCGAACTTTCATTCACACACAATTCTGACGCATTCTAGCACTTTCTCACTACGACGGAATTCTTCTCTCCCTCTATTCCTCCCTATTCATGTTAAATCTCACTCTGCCTTCTGCCTTATCTTCTTGCTTGGTCCTGGACACCCTGCCTATCTTCGGGTCGCCTTTCTTCTTGTTCCTTTCTTTCGAATGTTTTCCTCGCATATCTCTGAACTGCTCTCCACCCATCTGACGACCTAAGCATCTCCTCCACCAATTCCGTGACTGATTGCACCCTACCTCCTAACTCTCTCTCAAGCAGGCTCCTCTCAACTATCCATCTATCACATACCAATAGGGTGTGTGAGACAGTGTCCGATATTCCACAATACAGGCATTTGTCATTTTCTGCCTTTCCAAATCTGTAAAGGTATGCCCTTAAATAATCCAAACGCCGGTGCCCGCAATACATCCATGTTCTCAGGTTAGGAATCAACGACTTCGTCCACTGCACCACCCTTCTCATCTCATCCCATTCCTCTTGCCACACCATTATGGACCTTTCCCTTTCTTCTTTTTTTAAATGTTCTATTGCTATGTCTTCATTTCTTCTCTCGTATATTTTTCCTCTTTCCTTCACTAGCACGTGCATTGGAGTACACCCAGTGATAACTCCTAACGCCTCTGCAGAGACTGTTCTGTATGCACACGCCACCCTCAATAGGCTCTTCCTATCTGCTCGGGTGAGCTGTTTTCTGTACGCCTTTGTTAAAACTGCAGAACTCCAGACCGGCGCAGCGTAGAGGACGATCGATTGCACGACAGAATGAAGGGCCCTCCTCTTCTCAGTTTTGGGCCCTCCGATGTTGGGCATGATCCCTCCCAATGCAGCGGGTCTCACCGCAGCTCTTTGAGTCACCGCTTTTACGTGCTCCCCCCACTTTCCGTTTTGACTCAGAGTGACCCCTAAATGCCTCACGCATTTCTTTGGAACCACTATCTTTCCTGCACATTCAAATGTTATCCCGTCCCTTTTCCTTGGTCCCTTGAGAATTATAGCCTCGGTCTTACCCCCAGCCAGTTCTAGCTCATGCATTTTCATCCATTCCTCAACTTGGTTGTATGTGTGCTGTGCAACAATGATAAGGTCCTCCCTGTCCCGCGCCACTACCAGCATAGCGAGGTCGTCCGCAAATGCGAATGGTGTTACACCCTCTCCATATTATTGGGTCACAACTCCGTCATATGCCAAGTTCCATAGCGTGGGTCCTAGGACCGACCTCTGCGGCACTACAGCTGTCAGGTCAACCACTACTCCTTTTTTTACAACAATTTTCCTCTCTGACAAATAGTCGGAGACCAAATTCATCAAGTACCTCAGACACCTTCTCTCTCGTAGGGCCTTCATGACCTCTTTCCATTTTAATGTGTTGAAAGCATTCCGGACGTCAAACAACAGTAGGATTGCCCACCTCTGGTTAACCCCTACCCCGCGTAATTCCCGGAAGACTTCTATTAGCGCATCCACCGTGCTCCTGTTCTTTCTGAAGCCGTACTGCCTGGGTGACAGTCCGCCTGACTCCTCAATCAGTGTGTCTATTCGCCCTCTTAAGAGCCTCTCGTATAATTTACCTATGCACGACAAAAGGCAAACAGGTCGATACTTGTCTTCCCCCTTTGGGAGTAGCACGAGCTTCGAGATCTTCCAATTTGCCGGAAATCGCTAAGTTTCAAGTAGTACATTCATGTGGTTCAAAAGCCACGTCGGCTCTATACTGCCAATGCGTTTCACCGCTTCTGGTGGTATTCCATCGAGTCCCGGAGCCTTTCGTGTCTTTAGGGCACTCAACGCTTCGTTGAGTTCGTCTATGGTAAAAGGTACAGCTCGCTCAGCTTCGGCGTCCCACTGCAGTCCATGCCAATGGCCGTGTGGAAATAGCTCTCGGGTAACCTCAAGCTTCCTGTCCAGTGACATCTCATACATAGGGTACAGCTTGAACTGGTTCATTACGATTTTGTACCCCTGACCCCAAACGTCCTCATCCAACTTGTCACACAGTTCTCTCCAGTGCCTTTTCTTCTCGGCTCGGATCATCCTGTTCAGTTCCTTCTTTCGCGCATTGTATACCATATCCGTTCTGCTAGCTTCGGTTACTTCTCCTCTACCTCTTGCCCTCGTAGCCTGTCTTCTGATGGCAATGCATTCCTTCCTCTTATTTACGATCTCTTCGCACCACCAATAAGGCATTTTTCTTTTTTCATCTACCCCGTTTATGCAATTTCTCATAGTCTCTCTTATTATTGATTCAAGTCCCTCTGCCGATGGCGGTTGGCATCTTCTCCTCTCTATCAACCATCTAGAATACTCATCAAATGCTAGCCAGTCCGTTCTATCTCCACATCTGCTTCCTGTTTGGTTCGCTGATGACTCCACGTTGGTAGTCCCTAATCCGACGATCGAAAAGCCAATTTAGCGGTGTTCTGTGGCGGTGTCATCTGGCAGCACGGTCCAGTCTCTAATTTTCCTCGCCGCATTCTGAGTGGCACAGCTGACATCGATATATGAATGCGAATTTCCCCTCACGAACGTTGGTTCCTGACCATTATTTAATACCACTAAGTCCAGAGTTCTTATCCATTCCATAAGCATTTGTCCGCGAGCGTCCGTTCTGGGAGAATCCCACTGCGCCGCCTCGGCGTTGAAGTCCCCCATCACTACACACTCTCTTCCCAATAATCTTACCTCATTCATAATCTCATCCAGTCTACTTTCATAATTCTCCACTGTACAATTCGGTGAAATATAGCAGCATACCACATTTACTCCCTCCACACGTATCGTCACAAATCCCTCATGCATATCAATACCATATACTCTCAGTTTTCTATTAAGTATCCGCACTCCTACTACGCCCGACGTATCTACGAACCATTCCCTACTGCGCACCAACGTGGGGTTTGGCTCCGCTGCTACCAGGATGTCAATTTCTTTTTCGGTTGCGAAGACCACAGCGAGGTCGTGAGCTAGCCTAGCCGTCCCAACATTTGT